CAGATTCCATGCACATCCTATCCAGATGATCAGTCTCTTTATATTGCAGAGGGTCTTTTCTCATCCATGTACAAAGGGTGTGACCATATGGAAGTCTACAGGCCCTACACTACACTGCATTTGCAAGTGTGTGCATTTTTAGTCTCCTTTGTACATGTAGTCACAGTCTTCTGTTTCATGACTCTCTTTGCACTACATTGAAGCATAATATGCATTTGCTCATCTTGAAAATGAGTAAGTTTTTGCACCAAATGGGCTATCATAGATGATTGGGAAAAGGAGGCTCAAATATGTATGGATTTCCTACTAAACTAAAGAATAGTTATAAACTGCTACACTCTTTCTAAATTTCCTGGCCAAAACCTAAAATCCCTGGCAAGAAATATTTTTAAAGGTATAAATAGGTGGGGGGGGGGAGTTGTGTGGGTGTATGTGTAAAGGCTTATTTATAAGTCTGGAAATTATTCCTTATGTTATATATCATATATTATATGCTATGGATATATTACATGTAACTCTGGAATGCCTCGAGCAATTTCAACCAAACTTGGTACACAGATGATTTACTCTCTGGAAACAAATACTGTGGGGGTAAGACACCCCTAACATCCCTAGGTGTGTGTGTTCTGTTAAGATACAGCCTTAAAATGGCTTCTATTGTATTGCTGTAAAATGGCTTCTACTGTACAGTGCAGTGCAGTGGAGTTGCCATGGTAAATGTTTTAAAGTATTCCACAAGAGGGATCCCTCAGGTAAAGGGGGGGAAATCCAACATTAGAAATTATGTTTGGTCTGGATATTTTCACCCTATAAATAAATAGCCAGGCAATGATGGGTTATCAACTAGTGTATAGTATGTTAGAATAAGTCATGAATATAGTGGGCCTATAGAACAACCATATCTAGCCTTTTCCTGAACCCACTGGGAAACTCACATTGCTGGAATGTGTGTATTACTGATAACAGAAGATCCTGGATGTGTGTATAAGTGAATTATTGCTGATGATACTAGGTGGAACATTAGTGAGCATAAGGAATGCAGTGGATTGCATTTTTCATGGAGTCATGGAACAGGGAGTAAGAATGTAAAGTTCCTGACAAGACCCGGGCAAGATGTACCATACATATGGATTCAGAGTAAACAAGTTGGGTATAAAGAGAGGACTGGAATGAACCCAGACTCTCAGAGTGCGAGACAACTCTTGATGGAGCAGGGGACACCCTGAGTCTGCTTCCCAGCCCTCTCTAATACAGCCTGGTCACTTGTGTTGGGAGTGTATGGGAATATTTTGTGAATGTGTAGTCTGGTTGGGCAACAATACCTACAGCAACCTGAGTAGCCTTGTTGGGCATAGTTAATTGAATAGCCTTGTTGGGCATAGTAATAGTGTTGAATAGCGTTGTTGGGTATAGTTATTTGAATAAGTAAGTATAAGAATAATCTTTACTGTCATTGTACTTAAATAAAACAAAATTGGTTTTAACCTCACTGGTGCAAAATTATGACAGAAAGGAAAAAAGAAAGAAAAAGAAAAAAAACTANTCTCTTTTCTGAAACTGTTCCACACAAGCAGAAATCAATGGTGGATGAGAGAACTTCAAAAGAAATCAGCTTAATCCACAATCACACATTCACAGTAAGCCAAGCTAAAGTTTGCTACCATGTTGTCTGAACATGTCCATTATTGGGTAGATGGTAGAAGAGACTCTAGTAATGAGATTTGGGGAAGAGAGACATTTTACTTGGAAAGTCTTTATATCTCATGGCACAAAGAACTTCTTTTTGCTGCTAATGATTCAAGGAAACAAACTGGGATTTTTAATTTTTTTTATTTATTATCAAAGGTACATCCAAGCCAGAATTCTGAGAATGATTAATAATAAGAGAAATATGTAACAGAGGTTAATGTAGTCAGATCTCCAGGAAACCTTTCACTATGCACAATGGGGGGTTGTACTTTTCTCTTTGAACTAAGTATTTTTACATTGTAGTTGAATGTTAATATTATATTAAGTGCTTTGTGACACAATTGTGTTACAATTACATTTCCAACTGATTATAAATGAACAGCACTTACATGGAAAGTGCTCAGGAGAAAAATTAAAAAGAAGACAACAGAGGTCCCACTGGGATGAGGGACACCACCACTGGAAACTGAGTTCTTTTCTATTGTGTGTTGAATCCAGTCCATATAAGAAGTTACTCTGGTATAGACTCCAGGTCGGTTGGGTTCAGAACAACCCACCCCAAAGCTCACAATGCCGGCTAGAAACCAAGTACTATTCAACTTGCAGGCAAGGGGGCCCCCAGAGTCACCCTAAAAAGAAAGAAAGGAGTTAACTAGGAACATTCTTTCAGTAAGTAAGACCTAAGGAAATAATGTGCATTTTGAGTTTAAATTTAAGCAGATGAGATGAATATGGCCAGAGGTAGGTTTCTGCAGGTTCACCCAGGATTGAGCAAACCGGTAGTGGATGCTTCACTTGTGCGCATGCACAAGTGAACCAGTAGTAAAATTAATTGAAACCCACCACTGAATATGGCGATTCACCACTTCCTCTTAATGTTCTTTAGCCAAGCCCTTACCATTACTGAAAAGGGGGAAATAATCATGGTGATTTAAAAGTAAATGTGAATCAGTGGAGAATCAGTGTTATATCTTAAATGTCTTTGTTACGGGTTTGAAGGCCAGTTAAGGATATTGTTGGCATGCTTGGAAGCCTTTGTTATTCTGCTTTCAGTAATTCATAACATTATCAGAGACATTCTGGAGAAAATTTCCTTGCTGCTTTGTGATACCATCTGCCTCAGGAGGACTATGTAAATCAAAACTTTGGATAAATTGTATTATGTGAGGAAATATACTGCCATTAAGAATGTATTGCAAGAAGAGTCCATGGTTTAGATTAAGAAACTAAAGTTTAAATTCAAGCTTCATCACATAACTTATCAAATTTACTTTATTCTAAGACATGTTATAAATATCAACAGGAAACAAAACCAATTCTAGTCTACTTATAGGAAGAATGACATATGGAAAAATGTCTAAGGTGGTTGTTTATTGTTACATTTTTGGGAGATGGGGAATTAGATTAATTTCTTTATATTAAATGGGGAGCTACAAGAATGCATGTGCAAAAATGTGTTGTTGTTAAAATACCTGTAGTTTATAAACTGAATAAACAAATACAATTATTAGTAAAAAAATATCTGGGGGAGATAGATTTAATGATTTGAGGGCATCTCATTGAGCACACAACACTATACACTGAAGGAAAAAAAATGGTGGGATGGATTTAAGCAAGAGTACATATACTGCAATTTACTGCATTAACTTAGTGTTTCTTATAAACAGAGAAAATCTTTTGTTAATTTAATAAACTGCCATTTTCATACTACCTTTTAGCCAACAAGATCAAAAATGAGCAGGTGAGTAACTATTTTGGGATCAGAGACCATATTCAAGAAACATGTCGTATCTGGGGCTTCACTGTAAGAAATATGAGGTTTGGCAAAAAAAGTGAACAGTTCAGAGTGAAATCAATGCTTGAGTACCCGCCTTTAGGTTGTATTAAGCTGCTTATCTCTATTCTCATGCCCAACATTGCTGTTGCTTAACAATCACAGTCAATTGTAAATCATAGTTGCTCACATTACAGGTAAACCCTGACTTACAAACAAACAAGAAGACCTGTTTTGGTCACCACACTATAAAAAAGATGTTGAGACTCTAGAAAATGGGCAGAGAAGACCAACCAGGATGATTAGGGGACTGGAGACTAAAACATATGAAGAACGGTTACAGGAACTGGGCATGGCTGACCTAGTGAAGAGAAGGACCAGAGGAGACATAATAGCAGTGTTCCAATATTTGAGGGGCTGCCACAGAGAGGAGAGGGTCAAGGTATTTTCCAATGCACTTGAAGGCCAGATAAGGAATAATGGATGGAAACTTAACAAGGAGAGATTCAACCTAGAAATAAGGAGATTTTTTCTGACACTGAGAACAATCAACCAATGGAACAGCTTGCCTTCAGAAGTTGTAACAGTTTCATCACTGAAAACTTTCAAGAGGAGATTGGACTGTCATCTGTCAGAAATGGTGTAGGGTCTGCATGGGCGGGGGGGGGTGGTTTGAACTAGATGAGCAATAAGATCCCTTCCAACTCTGTTAATCTGTATAATCTGTATTATGACCATTATGATTCACAGTCAGTATTAAGATTCCAGTGATTTCTTTTTCTGTTCTGTATACATTGCTTAGAGAGTTTTTGTACTGATCAAGCTAGAAATTGGAGACTAGGAGTTCTAGTTCTGCCTTAGACAAAAAGCCAGTTACTGTAGGTGACCATGGGCCGGCCACTTTCTCTCAGCCCTCAGAAAGAGGTAATGGCGAACCACTTGTGAAAAACCTTGCCAAGTAAGCCGCAGGGACCAATAGGCAGTCTCCAAGAATTGGTCATTATTGAAGAAAAAAGTGGCTGGATTCATACATTTCGCTCAGCTTGGTTATATAATAAATTGCAATGCCCTAGTTCCCAGACACGTGCTAAACAAGCAAATTCTATATTAGTGTAATATCTGTGACAAATTATAATTGATCCATGGCTCTTATCCTCTATTTTTACCTGGCAAGAATCTTTCTTTCCTTCCGGATATCCAGCACAGATCATGTCATCATAAATTAGCCTGTAGTTTTTTGGCAAAACTTCAGTATCTACATCAGAGCTGCTGGAATCATTATGGTACATTTCATCACATTTATCAACATCTAGGATTGGCATTTCCAACTTTTGCAGAATCCGAGTGATGAAAGAGGCTGGTGAGGAAAAAAAAGGGAGACTCTGAGACCGAACACCAACTCCTAAGCATTTAAGGGTGGAGCCTTCCCACATTTGCTTTTAAAGATCAAAGGGGTAAGTGGAAGTATCTGTGATGCTTTAGTCTGTGAGTCTCATTTAAATCGCTCCCAGCTCCTCCAGTCCATCTACCAAATGTTTAGGCTCCACACCCTTTGCAATAATGTCATTGCACTACCAACTACATTCTTGAATGGATGATTAAAAAACAAACAAATATTACAACTGCAAAAACAATGGATGTAATTAGCCCTGTTATGAGGACTTTAAGTCATGGGTCACATATGCCCCACCACTCACTTATTACAGAAACTTCCAAATAATGGAACCAAAATTCAGTCTCAAATCACTACTGCAAAAACAATATTTGTACAGCAATAAGCAATATTATAAATCATATAAATGCATTAACCCACCATAAAGTTTAATGCAGCTTAATGCCCCTCAAAATACTGGGGGGAGGGGTAGCAGAAGCATGCTCATCCAAAGGAGACCTTGAAGAAGCCTGAATTCTACAACTTGATCTGAGAAGACCCCCACCTTTTTCTTACCATCTGGATAGACGTCCCCCCAGCCAGTGACCCAACACATCATCCCTACGGGGAAAGGTTCAGGATCTTCAACAGTGGATAAGCAGATAGGCAAGATGGTTCGGGAGAAACGGACAGGCTCCTCTAGTTTCACCAACGCAATATCAGCACTCAGCCCAACTCCAGCATAATATGGATGTACTACAATCAGGCTTATAGCAGATGAGACCATGGTGGATGCTGGTTTGGGGAGTTCGTACTCCCCCAGGTGTACTTGATACTTGGATGCAACTAGTGGCCTATGGGAGCCAAGGGGAAAAATAATCAGTCTTCCATCATCCTTGCTCGGCTCTGAAACTAACAGGAAATCTGGTGCTTTCAAATTATGTGATTCAGACAATATCTTTACCATGCAATTGCTCTATCTTGTTCATGGAGCATTATGGAGGGCATCATTTATATATTTATGCATTAAATCAAATATTTATTATGAACAAAGATCAGCATCAGGAGGGAGGAGTCAAAGTAGAAATTCAGATTTCTTGGCTCTTTTAATATTGTAATGCTATCTTCATAAAGGCAAAATAAAATTGGTCCACTGCCAAATTTTTGAGCTTAGTTGAATTGCTATTGTTCCCATCTTCAATTACTAATTCCCTTAAAGAAGAGAAACTGGCTGAGATACAGTCTTTTTAATGCAAATCTGCTACTCACCCATCAAAGCAATGAGCAGCTGTCACCACCCACTGGGAGGAAATGAGACTTCCACCACATATGTGAAGTCTGTTTTCTCGTATGCTGACCTGCCATGGCCATTCCCCTTCTTCAGCTCTCTTCCCACCCACAATTCGAGGGGAATGTACTTTGGGGCGCCCACAGACTGTAAAAGAAAAAAAGAGAAATATGAGAAGATGAGAGCTGTAGGAAATTGTTCATACTACTGCCTTTCTACAACCAATGCAGCCAACTTGCCATAATTCAGCTCACAAATTGATTTTTATATTATCATTATTATTTTGTGAAGTCACAAGCTATTTCGATGAGTGAAAACCACATACATTTCCTTCAAATTCGTATTTTTTTTATCCATGATTGATAAATAGATGGCATTTTTCACTTTCTGTTTCAAAATATAGCCAGGACAGAAGCTCGAAGATTCAGATGCAAGTTTTTTTACTTCAATTCAATCCTAAAAAAATATGATAGGTAACGTTGACTGTCGGGTCTTTATTCCTGATGATCTCACAGGGACATACAGACAGTTTTCTTGGTAAAAATATTTAAATGGCAACTGTCTTCTTACTTTTTTTTTTCATCTTCTTGAAAGGATTCTATCCAAATAACAAGCTGGTCCTATTCCACTTAGGTCCTACATATAGTAGAGAATTTGTAACCAGATGGTAGAAGAATGAAAGGATTAGAATGAATCAACAAAATGAAAAAAAAAAGT